GAGAAAACTCCAACCTTTCCGTTATTTTCATATCTTCCTAAAGATCATCTAAGTGACTTAGGCATCAGAGGGCCTTGGGCCAACATCCCCCATCTGTGGTCCGTTGAATTCAGTCTATTTTTCAAGAACCGAGGAAGAAGAAAGATAAGGAAGCTCAAAGGGTGGAAGAATCTCGCGAATATTCTCCCGTGAGATATTTGTACAAACAACTTATATCAATGACAACAAATACGAGGATTAACCCCAACTTATGTTCTATAAGAATTATACACTAATTAACAAACAATCAAAACTGCATATCCATTCACATTAAGTTTCGTAATCTTAATCTATTATATAAATTGTCATTTTCCATATAAATAAATAAAAAGTCATTCTAAGTTTTCCACTGCTTTTTTAAATTGTTTATATTTTTGGTTGCTTTAAATTCAATTATTCAACCTGAATTTGTAGAACCAAGAGAAGGGTTTCATGCATTATATCCAAGTATGATGATGTTGTAGAGTCTTCAATTCATGAATTGTTGTAAAGTACTTATTGGGCTTGGGCAGGTCAAAGCACAAGTCCCACTCATGAAGTAAGATAGAACTTTTGAAGTCGAAGAGCTATTAACTCATGAAGAGAGGAAAGAGCCAAATATGAGTGCACTGAGTATTAAGAAAAAAAAAAAACAAATAAGGGGGAAAAAAGAGAGGAAAAACCAAATATGAAACCCCATATGATTAAGGCTTTGAGCTCAAATCAACCCAAACAACAAGAAGATGGGCTCTTTAAGACCCAATCATAAGAGTAACAAAAACATGAATAAAGCAAAATTCTATAATGATGGTGCCATATATAGATCGCTCATGTGGACCTTTATATTAGCCACATGATTATTTTAATAAAATTAAGTGAAATTACTATTTAGATTAATCATATGGCTAATATGAAGGTTCATATCTATAGTCCATATATGACACCCTTACCATAGAATGACTCTATAAATAAAATGGGAATTTGAACTAGAGATATACAATCGACAGGGCAAACCCATTTAAGAATTTCGGACATGCCCGTATGATCACCATGGTAATGTTGCCATTGATATAAGGTGGTCATAGAGATCGCATATACACATCAACTGCCATTGATACAAGTTGTTTGTGCGACGTCACTTTTTGGAGGGAGAGTCATCATCAGTGGCAGATCCACATAGGGGCAAGGGGGTCAATTGACCCCCTCAAACCCGGAATCCTCCATAGGAGGTGAAGAACTTGACCCCTGCAAATGCCCATAATGTGTTTGATGAAATGCCCCAAAGAGGGAGCAACCATAGCCAAGAGCTGCGCAGCGCGCGCGCAAGGCCAGGCCTTCCCTTTTTTTTTTTTTTCCTTCCTGATGTCAAAACGACGTCGTTCCATTTAAGTGAGTTTTTATTTTATTTTAGAACCTAGCCAAAACGACGTCGTTTTGGCTCAGGTTTTTTTATAAATTAAATTAAAATATTAAATTTAAAAAATAAAAAAAAACCAACAACAGCCCAGCAGATCAATAAAAGAGATTGGGGAATGGGTTTTTCACTCATTCCTCTCATTCAAACCCTAAATCCCCAACCCCAACCCTTAATTCTACTCAACTTTCACTCAATCTGAAGGCCTCTCCACGTGAATCATCCTCCAGCGCTGGTGTTCTCCTCATCAAGTGGCGGCAGCAAACCCCAAATTCAATTAGCTTTGAAATTTGCTCTCAAAATTGAAAGTATGTTATCCTATTTCATAATCTTTTTATGCTTTGATGATGAGATTGATTAATATGTTGATTAGTTTGAATGAATTAGAGTGTTTAATTAATTATATGTTAGTTTTTATGACTTAATTAGTTTGTATGTTTGAATATGATGGATTTTATCTCTCAAATTGAAATAATGTTATCCTAATTTCTAATCTTTTATTATGCTTTAATTGATTAATAAAGATTATTGTACATTTTTGTTGTTGTGGATTGTATTTGTTAGAAGTTTTTGATTATTTTGGTTAGTTAGAAAAAATCTTGGCAATTTAGATTATTAATTAGTTTGTATGTTTTTTGCATATGAAGTTATGGAACGATACTTTAAGAGAAAGTTCTCGTCAACCATTTCTACTTCGGATAATGTGGGTAGTTCGAACTCAAGAGATGTGGGTATTTCAAGAGATGTGGGTAGTTCGAAAGAAAGTGAGTTGCAAGATCGTATGAATGATCTTCCTGCAGACCCTGGACTTCGACCTCAAATGTTAGATTATGATCCTAACATTCGAGACGAAGTTCGAAAAGCATATCTACAAAAGGGTCCCTGTCAACCTTAGAATCACACATTTCCACAAATCGATCTTTCAGAGTATAATCGACATTTTAATGTCAAGTGGTTTGATGAGTTTGACTGGTTGGAGTACAGTATAAGTAAAGATGTTGCATTTTGCTTCTATTGTTATCTCTTCAAATCCAATTTCAAAATTGGTCAAGGGTGTAGTGATGCCTTTACAAAGATGGGTTTCAGAAATTGGAAGAAGAAAGAAAGAATTAGGAATCATATTGGAGGTGTTGGAAGTGTTCATAATCAATCTAGACAATATTGTATAGATCTTATGCATCAGAAGCCACACATCCAAACAGTTTTAGGCAAGCAATCAGACCAAGCTCATATTGATTATAGTATTTGCTTGACAGCTTCCCTTGCTTGCTTGAGATTTTTGTTGAAGCAAGGTCTTCCTTTTCGTGGCCATGATGAGAGTGACACTTCAAACAACAGGGGGAATTATTTGGAGCTCTTACAATTTCTTGCTGATCATGATGAGAAAGTTAAGGCCGTTGTGTTAGAAAATGCTCCAGGGAATCTCAAGCTAATAGCTCCAACAATTCAAAAAGATCTGGTGAATGCTTGTGCCACTGAAACTATTAAGAAATCATTAAGGATATGGATGGTGCATTTTTTTCTTTATTAGTTGATGAATCGCGAGATGTGTCAATTAAAGAACAGATGGTAATGGGGTTTCGTTATGTGGACAAAAGTGGGGATGTAATTGAAAGGTTTGTGGGCATTCAACATGTTAGTGACACTACATCAAACTCACTAAAGGAGGCTATTGACACATTGTTTTCAATAGAGGAATTGAGCATTTCTATGCTAAGAGGACGAGGATATGATGGAGCTAGTAATATGAAGGGTGAGTTCAATGGTCTTAAAACACAGATTTTGAGAGAAAATCCTTGTGCCTATTATATTCATTGTTTTGCACATCAACTTTAATTAGCTCTTGTGGTCGTGACAAAGGGAAATGTTGATATTGCCACTTTCTTCACATCTTGCAATAGCTTGGTTAATATTGTTGGAGCATCTTGTAAGCATCGTGACATGCTTAGAGATCAACTATAAATAGATATTATGGAAGCTCTTGAAAAAGATACTCTTCCAACATGGCGAGGCTTAAATCAAGAAACTTGTCTCAAGCGTCCCGATGATACACGTTGGAACTCACATTATGGTATATTACTTAGTATCATTTCTATGTTCAAATCTATGGTGAAAGTGCTTAAATTGATTATTGAGGATGGCTCCACTGATAATATAGGTGAAGCAAATAAGTCATTAAGAGATATACAATCTTTTGAGTTTGTATTTTGCCTATTTTTCATGAGATCTATATTGGGAGTCACAAATGATTTGTCACAAGCATTACAAAGGAAAGACCAAGATATTGGGAATGCAATGACTTTAGTCAAAGATTGCAAGGACCAACTACAACACATGAGAGAGAATGCATTTGAAGCCTTGCTTGATCAAGTATCTTTCTTTTGTGGCAAACATGATATTGAGGTTCCAAACATGGATGATGCATATGTAGCTCAATGGAGATCACATTGGAGAGCTCCTAGAATAACACATCTCCATCATTATCATGTGGATATCTTTATTCAAATCATTGAGTGGCAACTTGCGGAATTAAATCTTCGTTTTAGTGAGGTAAATACTGAGCTACTTCTTTGTTTGGCATGCTTGAGTCCGGATGATTCATTCAAAGCTTTTGACAAACAAAAGCTACTTCGTTTTGTTGAATTTTATTCTCAAGATTTTACTCCCCGAGACCTCTTGGCACTTGAAGATCAACTTGGGATTTATATTCATCATATGCGTACGAGGATTGGTAGAAAGATCTCTTCTTTCGTTTAAACCAAGTGGGCCCTAAACCAAAGCTTTGATCGCAGCGCTTCTCAATTGAACGGGATTGGTAGCCTTGCAAGAAAAATGGTGGAGAAAGGGTTGCAAAGAACATTTAATGATGTTTATTTGCTTCTCACATTAGCCAACTTTACCGGTTGCAACAGCTTCTGTGGAGAGATCATTTTTTGCTATGAATATTGTGAAAGGTCCACTTCGCAATCGAATGGGAGATCAATGGTTGAGTGATAGCTTACTTGTTTACATTGAGAAAGATGTGTTTATTTGTATTGATAATGACTCTATAATGCAACGTTTTCAGAGTATGAAAACTCGTCGTGAAAAATTGTAATGTGGTTTTTTTTTTATTAATTAAGAATTGTAATATTATCGTTTCATTTTTTTGGGTTCTATTTTGTATAGAATTTTTTTGCCTTTTAGATGTTCCTGCAAGGAAAATTCCTGGATTTGCCACTAGTTATCATAGAGATCACAGAAGGATGAGCAAAGGCCAAAAGGAAAGCAGAAAGGCAGCCAAAGGGATACAACGAAGAAGAAGAAAAGTTGAAAATATAATTGACTTAATTTTAAAAGGAAAAAAGAAAAACATAGTTGACCACATTTAAGTGACGTGACATATACACATCAGCTGCCACATAAGGTTGTCATCTAATGTATATGGCATCTGATGTGTCAATCTTGTGTGTCTAAATAGAATTACTCTTCTATAAAATATTTGAATGTTTGAATAAATGAGAAATGAAATCAATCTTATAAATTGTTTTTCAATTAAATTAATTACAATATTTGTTGGTGTGTCACTTCACTAAGTAGGTAAGAATTAGCAAGGAGTTTCTAGCTGAAGTAGTTAACTTGTAAACGGGTTGGAGTTGGAGCGGAGCAGTTGAAATCCAACTCAATTTTAAAAAAAACATTCAACCCGATCCGATCTGAAAATCCGACGGATCATTCACAACTAGATCCACATCTGATTTGTTGGATTATCGGACGCCATTTTGTTAAACCAAGTCGGTGATAATATTATAGACAGAACCTTCCTTAGTTATGTTGTTCCAGGTAACTGTATAGAAGTCTCTAGCATGAAACTTTAGTATTTTTTTCTTTTTAAAACCCGAAAGCCAGCCATCGAGGAATTCAAAGTTGAACCAGCTACCGTAAACGAGTCATAACAAAGTACATATAGAAGAAGAAACTGGTGTTTTCAACTCCGATATATTATTTGATTGTACTTGCAAGACTTTTGATTACATAATCTGTTGTACTTTTGTAGCCAGAATTGTGGTCCCCTGTGAAACCGGCTGCATGAACCTCCCTTGGTTCTACATGCCCTGGTAGTGTCTTGATCATTAAATATAAGCGCAGGAGCATATGTCTTCTCAAGTCATAGCAAAAGTCATAAAGAAAGAATTAATGGTCCTTCTTTCAATATGATTTGTAGCTAGGATCCTTCCCCGTAGATATGATTCGGCTTGTCTCTCTCCCAAGTGTTGGTCAAAGTAATCAAGGAAGTAAAATTTGTCACGTGATATGGGAGACTGGATCGCCTCAACTCTATTATTATTATTGTTCTTTAGTAGTGTATGAAGGAGGTAAGACCTAAACTTGAGACAGGTGATGCTGGCAGGTGGCAGGCATAGCCATTATCATCTCTAACTATCCAAAGAAATGAAAAAAAAATTCCGATTAGGGTTAGGGATATAGGTGGGAAAGTCAGGAATATAGGTGTGTAGAAATAATAGGTTAACGAACTGAATAAAAGCATCTCCAACCGAGATGTTAAAACACCAAGTAGAGTTTTAATGGTAAAATTTGACATCACATAATGTTCCAATCGAAGTGTTAATGCTGACAAGGATTTGAAGGCTCGTACCTTGTCGTTATTTTTTATAGCAACCAAAGTGAGGAGTCAAATCCCATTTTAATAAGTTTTTATGGGTAATAATAGCTTGAATTTCATTTTAGAATTGAATCTGGTTGGAATGCCAAAAGTTCCATTAGAGCATTTCCAAGGGAGAAATTTTTTTTGAGTTAGTGATCATATAAATGATATAGAGAGATGAAGGAAGGTAGGAACCATATATTTGCTTCCCTTTTTTTCATTGGTAAAGCATAGAGTAAAAACTGGGGGTTGTCATTTCGTTCCAATCAATCCATCCACCCCAAAGAAAGAGGAGGGGCAGCAAATACAATGACTATGTGAAATTATGGACTATATAGTACAACAATATGTAATCACCAACATCCTGGACAGGTCACCACAATGATAGAAAAAGGAGGAAAAATTGCAGACTGAAAGTTGAGTTTTTATGACTGTATGCTAATAATAGTAAGGAAAAGATGATAAGGCAAAAAATTAATCATGGGAGTAAGAGCCTTAAATATTCCTATGGTGGTGATCGACCCTTGAGGAAGCGCCAAGGCCCTGTTCCAGTCCCCATCCTGCAAGTGTAGAGTCCAAAATCAATTAGTGATGATACTAATTATGAACTGAGTGTTGGAAGAGGTATCAAATTCGAATCTCTCTTCCGTTGATAAAAGAAAAGTAATTACCTCCATACACCAGCAAATGCACGCAGCGCCATATAAATGGTTAAAGCAATCCAAATTCCAACGAAACCATGGGATTTGGAGAGAAGGAACAAGGATACAATGCTTGCTATGGCCACCAGAACCTGTGAGAAGGAACAAAGAATTTGGTTTGAAGAATTAGTAACAGAATTTGTCAAAAGAGAATTCAGAAACATCAACTGTAAAACTTGTAGTATCATTTGTAGTGTGGTAAATGGTTTACAAGAGACTTGCCAAGGAGTATGCAGAATAAGCAAAGTCAGATGCTCCAAAGTTCACACCATCAAAGACAAAAGACAGTGAATTGATCGGTTGTGTGGCTGCTACAAACTGATGGATAGAAAACAATTTAGTTTGAAGATTCTTTCATCATTAAAAAAAATATATTGAGAAAGAGAGAGCTTTTAGATGAGCAAAAATTATATACCGGGAGGCCAATCCTTATAAGGTGCAAAACATTAACATCTCTAGAAAAGATTCCAGCTCCAAAGTACAAACCAATCCCGACAACAAAAGCAAGCCCCACACCTAGGATAAAGCTCATCTGCACAAATATTCTTCCACAAATTAAAATGCTGATTGTTTTGGCAAATGTAGAACGTAACAAAATTGTTAAAAATAAATAGTAGGTTAGTTATAAACTTCAAGTCCTGAGTGGTTTATAGATAAATAGCCTCTGCTGCTATGTGTACAAACTGAAGTACCTGTAATACCCTGCTTGCGGTAGCTGTGGCCTTCTTGTAGTCTTTCTCAGCAAATGCACACGCTAGAATAGCCTAAAGAGCAGGGGACAATGACACAAAGATTGTTTGAGTACGAAGCTTACTTGCAACTAAAATAGCTGTAAGTCACTCGAGATGATATATGTTTAAATAGAGAAAGAGAAAAAAGAAATACCTGCCCTGCAACAGCCAAGCCATCAGCAAGAAGAGATGATGTCAACCAAACCTGCAGGCAAGTCTGAAATGCAGCCATAGGAGTTGGACCTTCCCGTGCAGCCAGCGATGCTGCCAAGGTCACACAGAATGTCACAGCAACCACCCTAGCCAACAACAGAGTACCTGTAACCAAGCATAAAAAAATAAAAATTAAACAGAAGCCAACCAAGTAAGAATTATATATGTATGTATGTAAGAACAATAGTGATATAAGAATTGAGCTCATTACCATTCCTCAGAAACCGACCAAACTGCAAATCTTTAATACTTGGAGGTAAGAGATCAATTTTTGTTGTTAAGATTATGAAGAGTACCAGTGCCATCAAGTACCTAAAACGAATAAAAAAAATTAATCTTAGCAAAGATGCATCAAATAAGATATTAAAGTACAAACAGTGCTTCAATAGCGGCTGTAAATATGAAACAATAAAAATAATACCATGACAAAGGTCACACTACTCACTGTGAAAGAACATGTGCCATAGCTGCACCTCTGATGCCCAAGCCACAGACAAAGATGAGCAGTGGATCCAAGGCAATGTTAACTGCATACCCCGCAACTGGATACAAACAAATGAAACAAATAAACCCTATTAAGTAGTAAGAAGAATTGGCCATTACTACAGGTTTTTACTTGTATACAGTATGTTTTTTGGCCTACCAATGACATATAAAGGAGTTTTGGTATCCTTAAAACCTCGGAAGATCCCTTGCATGGCCAATGTGAGAAGAACTGCAGGTGCACCTATTGATCTTATTCTCAAGTACTTCTGTGCTGGGGCTAGCATAGGGGAATCCTGCTCCATAAGAAGAGCTGTAATTATTTCCCTCATTCCATAATGATCTTTAAAGTAAAAAAAAAAAATGTCAATAAGGTCAGTTGATTAAGCCTGCCTTTTGGGTAAAGGGAGTTCCTAAATGTTCTAATTCTTTAGTTTTCTTTCTCATTGATTTGTTTCCATATCTTCAAATTGTATACATCTTCATTTGTTTATTAGTAAAGCATTTAGTATAAGAAATATAAATCACTTACTGATTTCACACCCATGACGCCCAGGAGAACTTTGGCTGTAAACATGAGAAATATGGCTTGCAAAAGGCCAAGTATTGCTCCAAAGATGAGTGCTGTCGATGCTGAAGCAATGTGTCGCTTCTGTTTCTTGATTTTTGCCTTCTTATTGGTGCTCATGAGATCAGAAGGGCGCTTGTCAACCGTTGTTCTTGAACCTAATCAAGAAATCACAATTACTAAATGTCACAATGATAATATTATTCAAGAGTACAATTTTCTAGTGGATCACTGTTTTTAGCAGCACCCTTCTCTGCCTTCTCAAGCTTAACATTTTCACCTATGGCTTTGTTTGCTTCACTGCTTTCAGGTAATCCATTGTCTGAGCTATCACCTTTCGCTCCAAGTGCACCTTTTCCCACTGCCACATGCACATCATCCTCAGCAGAAGCCTCTTCCTTCTTACTGTTTTCAGTTTTACATTTCCCAGATGCTTACCATTTTCTTTAGCTGTACCATTTGGTTTAGCAGCCCCTTTTTCCAAGTCATCAAGCATGTCTGCCTTTTGCAATTGCTCACCTTTTTCTGATTTGATGTTCATTTTTGCAACAGTATCTTCCTCAGCAACAAAGGAAGTTGTAATACTGACCAATGGGAATATAGTAATTCTTGAAGCTTGATTGAACAGGGCAATAGATACTCCTGCTGCTGCAAGTTCCACAGGACCTATACAACCCCAAATTCATGTTTTTAAGTTACTCCACTTGAAACAAATATCACTCCTAATGTGAGTTCATAACCGTATATTTCAATATCATACTATCTAGTGAATATTTCCAAACACCATACTATTGTAACTTATTGTGAACATGCAGACATAAATATGAACAAAACTGTCCTAAAAATTGAATCCTCCAAATTTAAGTGCTTCAAAACATGAAGAAAAGCAAAAGCAAGCGTATGTACCTATGTGACCTATGAATGCCGTGTCAATCAAAGAAGCGACAGGATCAGCAGCTACAGCCAAAGCAGCAGGGAATGCAATCTCTAGTATCTCCTTACCAAGAATATCCCACTTGAAAACCCGCCTGCAATGAATTAATTCAAAGAAACCATATACTAATAGCAATGAGAAGGGAAGGCCCTATCAACCTTAATTTGAGACAGTGAAGGCTGCCCACAGAGTGGTAAATTAGAGAGAGAGCAAAGCACTAATTAAACATTGTAGAATTGAAACTGTACCTTGCATCTTTGAAGAAAACACCAACAGGTAACTTCCACTTGCTCACTGATTCATGCAAATTTTGCTCCTCAGCCATGTTTAAGTTGATACTGCAAGTTCAAAATGTTTCTGATGTGGTCAATTCAACTGAGCTTTTGATGTCACTTTAAACATGCAGCTCTCACAAACTAAGCTCAATTTAACTCATATACCAAATGAAGTGCTCAGTTTAACAGAGAAGAAAAACAAAACAAAACAAAAAAAGAGGAAAATATACCCTTCTATGTAAAATGAACTGTCAAATAAATTTGAGTTCAAGTTATAACAATGGCGATATCTCAGGAGTCGCTCAGATGTTGAAGAAGCTAAAATGCTAGCGCCTGAGAATTAACGCCAGGAGGGTGACACAAAGACACTACAAGTTGAAGGGAGATTTATAGTTGCATGACTTGGGTCGGTGATAATAGAACCTTCCTCAGTTATGATGTTTTGTAGACTCATCAATCAATACAAGCCTTTAACATGATTTGTTTTTTGCTTAAAAAAAAGTACCAAAACTTTTGCGAGAAATTCAAAGTTGGTGCAAATGACCTGCTAAACTTTGCTTGGAATGCGTGGGCAAGACACGTTGTGTGAATTGTGTGCTCTCTTACTAACTAACTATGTTAGACCATTGCTATGTGAGGAACGAAAAGTAAAATCGGGTTTTAATTTAAGAACTATTGTTATATTTTAGCATTTTTCTTTAAATGGATTTTTTTTCCCATTTGTTCTTGTACCAAATTTCCATTAAATAAGAATTTTTATAACTCGTATTAAAAAGGAAAATTTCTCTTGTCAAATAGTTTACTATGTTCCGTAATCTAAATCGAACTGACAACTTAAATTTAGTATGTAATTTTGCTAGACTGTGAATTTGAACCTTCCAATCTAGACAAAAATTGATAAGTTGACAAGTAACATTCCAAATGTCTTGGAAAAGAAAAACATCCAATGCTTAAAAAGCCTAATATGCGATTTTATATTCTCCCGCTAGGACTGCAATAACCGCAGCATATTATAGGTCCTATTGAAAGAACAAAAAAACCAAACAAACAAACAAAGGTTCCTGATATTTTCCTACCCACATAAAAACATTATGTGTGTGTGTGTATATATATAATTGGCATGTAATCAACATATAAATGGGTGAAGCTTTGGACTAAAAGTGTTTCCATTTGCCAATGCCATTTGGCTAAATGGGATTAGGCAAGGACAAAAATTAGTATAAATAAACCTGTAAGTTAAGGAAGGAGTACAATGGCTAAACACAATGTAGAAGGGGAAGGGACAAGGTAGGTGCGACCAAACTTGGATAATGCATATATACCTCCCTTGGGTTTTCAATCCCCTGATAGCACCACGAGAATTACGGCAGGTGTCTTCTAATATCGAGTGCAAACAAAACTTAATTCTTATTTATCAGTCAAAATAAATCACACAAAAAGATCAAAGAGAGAGAGAGAGAGAGAGAGAGAGAGAGAGAGAGAGAGAGAGTGATCCTTATGTCCATGTCTGTGCGAAGCTTGCTTGAAAAAGAAGATTCGACCTGTCTTTTAAATGGGACTGGTTTAATTCTTAATGGAGGGCTATGGACTAGGTGATGGGTATGATTTTTGTCCTATTTCTAAAAGCTCAAACTTTTAAGATATGCAAGAGACTGTCACTTAATGGTTAAGTTTGATTCTCTCCTTCTTTAATTTGCTTGTATTAAAAGGACAAAAAAAAAAAAACCTATTAAGAAGTGGATGAACAATTATCTTATATTTTAGGACAATCCCATTTTATGAGTTTTCATTTCTTTCTCGTATATTTCCTCATTAATTTATGTTAGTCGAAACTGAGATCTCCTCAAACTAAGAAAAATAACTACCATTAAACCAAATACTAGTTGATATTATATCTAGTATTAAAATTCCCTCAGTCCAAGTGAGGTACTCTTAATACAAGTCAGAATCAAACTTCGAGAACAGAAGAACTAACTTTATATAATAACCAATACATCGACAAAATAGAATGGCAAAAAAAACCATGTTCATAAAAAGGAGTGAAACGAATTAAGGAGAGGCTTAGATGGATCTTTGGGAAGACATGAAAAAACAGGATTCAAAATGATCACATGATCATTAGGAGAGGGTTACAGTTACCCACAAAACTTGCATCCTTCATAGCTCTACCACCAGAGTTATAAACCCCAAACTTCATTAACTAGTTCAGATGAACATTCACTGAATCTATTGGTTAGCTCATAAGTATTTTTTTAAAAAAATATAAGGAAGAGGGGGGAATCGAACCTAAGACTTGAGATGCAAAGATAAATGCTCTTAATCACCTGAGCTACAAACCTCTTATCCTTAGCTTTATTTTTTTGAGAATCGCACTTAGCTTTATAAGTGTGGTAACATATTTTTATCAGTCATCATTATCCTTTAAACCCAAAGCTTTTAGTAATTTTTATTCCCAATTGCATCACACTTATCTAAACTTTTACCAATTAGACACCAGCTGAAAGGAAATATAATGCATAAGGTACCAATTAAAAGTTGCACGTGAAAAGAAAAACAAAAAAGTTAGTACGATGATTTGTTTTAAAACAAATTTGTTTACATACAAATTACAATTATGAGTGCCCCTTCAAAAACATAGTAAAGGCAGCCAATTTTAATAAAGAAGTATTTATATATATTTATTTAAAATTTTCAGAATTGTCATTTAAGCAAATTATCACAATATTATACAATAAATATTCTTTCAAGAAAAAAATACTGTATGTGGAGTGGTGGATTTCGTCAAGCATGTGAGTAGTGGGATCTGCATAAGCAAGAAAAAAAAAAGAAGAAGAAAAATAGATCGCAGCATTGTGATTGGGGATTTAGTTGGAGACACGTGGCTCATCCTTAGAGGTCACGAGAACTAATTGACAACTCTGTCACCCTGAGGAGACTGGAAAGAGGGCCTACAATCATTTTTAATCACCATTGACGACAGTGACATAAACCAAATAATTCCGTACTTGACGCCCAGTACGGGATTCGTAGGTTCCAATAGTGTGGGGAGCACTTGTGTGTTAGTGGGCCCACAAAAAAAAACGACACGCAGGAAGCCCATTGTAGAAGGCCCATTATGGGAGAGCACGAGGAGCATCCAAATCCACTTCAATAAAACTTTGGGTTAAATTGTTGCGAGGCTTTTGTATAAGTTTCGTCCCCAAAAAAGAAAAAGATTTTTCTTAAGTTAATTCTAACATCAATTTTGACAAGAGTCTTACACATATTTGACGAAATGCATTTGAACCATCAGGTAATAACAGTGGATAAATCTTATTTATTTTTTGTTTGAGTTTAACGCAATGCATCCGATACGTACTTAAGAATCACGGAGAAAAATAAGTTACGATATCAATGAATTTTCAGGTAATGTATATATTAAATAAAAAAAGGTGCATGTACGCACAAACATGTATTATGAGAAGCATGCATGCACAGAAGAGGAAGAAGTTGAAAGCAAGAAATATACCAAATAAAGTAAGAGTTGTAGACTGAAAGGCAAGGAAAGGAGAGCTTATCTTTTGCAAGAAACTTGCATACCTTTGCGCTTATTGTTCTTTGTGCTCTGAGAGAGAGAGAGAGAGAGCAATTGCAAATCAAGCTCTTTTCACCAACTTCTTTTTGCACACTTGTACACAAAGCCCTGCCCACGCTTTATAAGTACTCTTCCTTCATTTCTCTTATCTCTCCCAAATTAATAAAATATGGGTATATTGCTTAACCCACACACGCACACACGCAGACTCAGAGAGAGAGAGAGAGAGAGAGAGAGACAAGGAAAAAGCTTTAGATTGAATATTGACTTGAATGAAGCTTTAGAATTTGGCCAAGGATTTGCATAAATTTAGAGGGGGGCTCACGGATATCCTGAAAGGTGGACAGTCCACCATGGAACGTAAGTTATAAAGTATTTATGGATTTTTCTATATATGATTTGTCCTACTACTTGTGATGCAAAATGAAGTGCTGGTAACAATAAAACCTTTTTTTCCCCAATGGGGCTACGTAGGATTCCCAATATCTCCCATGCCTGAATTTCATTTCCTCGTGAGTCGTGACCTACTTTTTTTAACCGGCTGCACATTATGAGCCATGCGTATATGATTGGTTAATTCATCAACTAGGTTAATCAATGTACTTCTTTTTTTTCTTTTTAGATCCAAGTACTTTTTTTTTTCTTTTTAGATCCAAGTCTAACAAATTTGGTTTTTATTAGGTTTAACCCAGATCTTTTCTTTTGTTGATCTAGACCCATTAGCATTTATACCTCATTTTTTATTGACCGTTTTGCCCCTTGAAATATATGTGGCAAAAAAATGAAAATCCTAAATTATTGCATCTTTTACTATTCAAAATTTGAATTATGAACTTTGTATTGTTTTCATAACCCACCTACAACAAGAAAAAATCCATTAAAAAAAATGTTTACTTTTATAATAGGTAAACACGTACCAAACATGGGAAATCACCTCTTTTCCATGAAACAAATGTATCCTAAAAAGAGAAGAAAAAAAATCAATATATACAAAAAATTGGCATTTAGAAATATGTTTATTAGTCTATTCATTAAATATATTGATTTTTAAATTATTACTTTTAATAAACTTAAGGAATTTACCAAGGAATATTATTGGCTATGTAGCACAGATGCGACACCAACCTCAAGTGTTGGAGTGTTGGACACTCGCACACTCCAATACGACACGGCACTAACATGCCTTGGACACACATTGGACACGGTCAAGACACTGCCTGGACATAATCAAGACACTCCTTGACACGGGTCAACTTATGGTCCATATACTGCAGGAGACACTAATCGTTATGTTTAGAAATCTGAGCATGTTTTAAAATGTTTTAGAACTCTATTATCTTATACCCAGATGATGCGGTGTTGGAGTTGCAAAGGCAGCGGCAGGAAGATGATGTGCAGATGATGCCCTAGCAAAGATGATATCCATCCTTTTAGTGAAACGGTGAGTTTTACTAATTGGATGGGAAAAAAAATCTCACTTGGGCCTGTGTACCTCAACTCAACTAGGGCTGGGCATTCAAATCGGTAATCCGGTCAAACCGCCCAAATTAAACCGATGATTTGGGTTGGTTTGGTTTTTTTCAATGTTTTTTTGGTCATCGGTTAGAATCCAAACCAAACCTAAATATATAGTTCTGTGTATGTTTTGCAATATTCAAAATCACGGTTTAACCAAACCAAACCAATGGTATTAAAAAATATATATATATAATATTATTATAAGAGATATATATATATACACACACAGATAATACATAGTTTCAATCTTTTCTTTTTCTTCTCTCTCCATCTCTCCGTTTGTCTTGTCTCCATCAGTCCCTCTCTCTCTATTTTTTTCTCCTTCTTCTTACGTCTGTCTTCACTCCCTCTCCTCGTCTCCCTCTTTTTTTTTCCTTCTTCTCTCTATCTTCTTTTTCTCCTCTTCTTCTTCTCCTCTCCTCTCTCCCTGCTCTACATCGCTTTTATTTCTCTCTCTTTCTTCTCCTCTCCATCTTTCCCCGATCTACATCTCTCTCTCTCTCTCTCTCTCTCTCAGACAGCTAAAAGACCCAAACTGAACGAAACTAACCCACCAAGTCCGGTTGACCGAAGTGGTCGATTTTCATCAATTATGGTTTTATTTCGGTTTCCAAAATAGCCAAACCAAGACTTACGGTTCAGTGTTTGGGTTGAACTCAAAACCGAACCAACCTAAACCGAGCCCACCCCTAAACCCAACAATCTATTTGCTATTTAAATTATTTAAAATATATATATAATGAACGTGCTAAATTAACAATAATTTGTAGAAATTAATAAACTACATTTGAAAGGCTTGGAAAGTTTAAATTTCACTATACATGATTTTATGAAATTGAAGTATGAACATAAATATTTCTTTTAATGCCATGTCCGTGTTTTATTTTTTGATATTTTCTATATCTACGTATCCCATGTCATATATCCGTATATACGCAACATTATGTTTGGACCTAAATTGGCATACCCAACATAAGGAAATAAAAGCCCATCTCAGTTTTGGCAGCCACCAAACACCTCTTTGAAATTGGGCCATAAATACACATTCAACCCAAAAACAATGAAAGCCCCAGCCCAACATCAAAGAACCCAGCCTTTAGTTTAAAAAAAGGGGGGGGGGGGGCCAAGTCCTTTTTGCAAAGAAAAGAAAAAAACCACTAGCGCAGAATCAAAATGAAATATCAAAGACTTGATTAAAAGCCTATTCTTTCAAAGAACCCACGTGACCATCAGAAATTGAGAAGTCAACAATTTCAACTATCACAGAGTTGATTGGAAATTTCAAAAGAAAAAGACAATGGTTGGCAAACTAGGAAGAGACATCTCTGAAAATCTGCCAACCAAAGATCAAAATCCCTCTTATATATTCAAAGATATTGTTTCCACTCCAGAGAGGCACCATCTTTTAAGGGATACGCAGGCTAAGTTTTCAGAAAGGAGATAAGCAGGAAAGAGGGGATTTGTTCAAACTGAAGAAATCAAACTAACCATCACGATTGAAATCACACAATGGGCAGTTAAATTGGGAAAAGGAATTAGGTTTTCTCTTAAAAATAGGGAAGTGGTCTCTAAGATTGATTGATGAAAGCCTATCTGCCAGAATTTAATTAAAAATCTTCCCTCTCTTATATATCTTTGTAGATCTTTGAGAAGACTTGCCGCCCATTATTTTAAAAGAAAGAAAACCCTGCCCCTATACAATTTTTTATATAAATACAAGAGAGAGTGAACAGGGCAAAGGACAATCAATCTTACACTCAATTCATCAATCAAACAAATAACAAGAGATCAACCAAAAAGCTCACTTGAGCTCCAGGTAAAACCAATTTGAGATCAAAATTCCCAAAGTTCAGACTTAGAAAATAAGTCATTTAAAATGAGATTCCTCTCGTTACAAATTTGGTTCAGCAAAAGCCAAGATAGGTAGAGTTTGAGCTTTTCCCAAACATGAAAATCTCAACAGATTTCACAGTGCAGTTCTTAGCACACTGAGTCCTCAAGAACAGCCACTTCTGCCCTTTCAGTCTAAATAAACCGCAGTTCTGTCTGCTTAAAGCCTCACAAAAGCTTGATGTAGATTAAAGCTCTGCCAAAATTGAACTTTGATATCGATTTACAGCTGAAACTTAGCAGTTGAAGTTGTTAATAGTTCAGTCCAACCCAGACATTTGCAGTTCAACCCGGATCATAGTCCTCTATCCAGGAAGAAATAGAGTTCCAGTTGTCTTTTAACCTTCCCAGCATTGATATGTATGTCCATAGTTTTGTAAAGGGCAGTTCTGCCTAAAACAGTCTAATTTTTATCAACTATTCTGGCCAGAACAACTGTTTTTAAACTGAGATAAATTATGAAAGTCCTCACCAGCCTGAGGCATGAAAAGAACTTACTTGAGAGATATTCTTCACCCAAATTCACAATCGTTTGTTTTAGAAATCAGTAACTTGGGGCGTAAGCTATCTATTTTCTAGAAGAAGTCTGCTAGAGTCTTCACTGCTAGCAGTGGCACGCTCATAGACCAAAGAAAGCTGTATCGTTGACCAGTCAATGGTTTCCAAGGGAGTGGGGAACTTTGTCATTCCATCTCAGGAGTAAACACAAAACAGGGTGAACACATTATTAGAGGTAATATGGGCATTTAGAAAAGTTCAACTATCCAATTCGAAAAATGAGCTGACTTGTCAGCATTGTGAACTTTTTTGAGGTAGACCCCGACACGACACTTGAATCTGGTGTATAAAAATGAAAAATCCATATTTACTCAATAAATGGCATTTAGAAATATATTGATTAGGAATTTTTTTTTTTTCATTTTGTTTTAAGGACATTTCCTATTGAAAGGAGCAATAATATACTAACTTCACACACACTACACGCAGTGGCAGATCTATCATGGGGTCAATGGGGTCAGACGATGCCATGGTAGTCCTAGAAATGGCTTGGAGGTCCTTGGTTTTTTTGGCAGCCATGGAAGACGACCCCATGGAGAAGAAGATGTAAACTGCTAAGGAGAAGAAATAGGGTGAGAGGAGAGAGAGAGAGAGAGAGAGAGAGAGAGAGAGAGAGGGGGGAGGAAGAAGAAGATAGTGGTTGAGAGGGAGACGAAAAGAGAGGGGGAGGAAGAAGAAGAATACTGAGAGGGAGAAGAAAGAAGCACCGACAAAAATTAAAAAAAAGGAAGATATTTGTTAGAGTTTTTAAAATATTTTTTTAAATTTTGTTGGGTAGACCTATAAATACTAAACGTATACATCAATAGCATAAAGATATCACTTACCATAGTGGTCTTTGAATTGAAAAGGACCTTAAGGTCGATGATTTAACACTCATTGTGCTCCTTTCTTTTTGTAATATTCAAGGTATTTTATTATTTGGGTTATTTTTAGGTGAGTTTATCTATTATTTGGGTTGATGTTATTATTTTGATGAAATTTATTATTTACATAATATATATATATATGAGCTTGATTTATTGAATGATGTTTTTGTTAATTGGAATAAGTTTGGTGTGTTTTTTTATTTTTATTTTTATTTTATTTTTTTGCATTGTTTCATCTT